ACGGGGGGTCGACACGCTGGAGGCAAGGGGGGGATCTGTTCCTGATCCACAGGCACCGAACGCCTTCCTCCGGCCTTGGCCTCTCCCGTCCAGCGGTGCCACAGCCCCTTCCCGGGGGATGAACGTGGACGCCTCAGGGACCGATCCCTTTGCCTCACCGGTGGGGCTCCTGCCGGCCGTCTCGGCAGTGACTCCTAAGAATACAAATTCCAAAAGCAGAATGACTCCGTGTGGAAGGTTGTTCTGCATTATTGACGGCGTTTTATCCCGTTTTGTGACTGCGTTCCTGGACGTCCCCAGAGGCCCTTCTAATTACCTGAAGGCCGCCCGTTGCAGGGTTGCGTTCGCATCAGGCAAACCTGCGTCGTAGCGGAAACTCGGTGAAGCTGTGTTTGGGGGTGACTGGGGTGGGGGCTGGCGGGTTTGCTTTGGTGGCCTCTGGGGTGCCTCTGAGGGGTCGGTTTCCGGAAGTTTCCTCCGTGGCCTAAAACAGTGCCCGGCATGTGAGGGGTGTCCAGTCACTCTTGGTGGGAGGCAGGAACGCGCCCACGTGAGCGGTGTTCTGGTGAGGGGCTTCGTGGTGGTTCTCACAAAGGCTTCAGGGGTGCAGGGGGGCCTGGGGGTGCCTGGGAGCTCGGGGACAGCCAGGAGCTGAGCATCCTTGCAGCGAAATTCGTGCTGGCCACTCCCGGGGCAGATGCAAGAGGGAGACGGGGGCCTGGAGGGGGCCGTGCTGCTGGGATGAGCTCAGGAGGGATGAAGACAGCTTGTACCTGGCTGAGTCCCCGGAGCAAGGGCACCTGGGTTTGCCTCGAGGAGGGGCGCCTGGCTGCAAGCCCACGCCTCCTGGGTCTGCCTCCCAGGCTCCCCTCTGCCAATCCACAGCACCCCTCCTGCAACAGGGCCTGTGAGCCACGTGTGCTGGTCACCACCGCGGGTGGCCGCAGCCTTCCGGTGGGGCCGGATGTCATCTGCTTGTAGAGGCGGCGGGACTCTGGCTGGCTCTACCTCTGTGTGGACTTGGCCAAGTTGCTCAACCTCTCTGGGCTTCCATCTGCGAAGTGGAGAAATTCATGCCCCCCACACTGTGCAGGGGCCCTGAAAGAGGGGGCGTATGAAGGTCTAGGGTGCAGCAGCTACCTCCCTGGCCGGGCTGGAGGGAAAGACGGCAGAGGTTTACAAACCACATCTCTCCAGATCCTCAGAGAAGGGTCCAACCTGAAGGTACCCATGCATCCTTTCCTGTCAGGGCATGTGAAGAATGAGAATGTCCCCAATTTTAAAAAATCATCTGTGTGGTCATTATGCCGCCGATTTCCAGACGGCCTCTCGGAAATGCCGCCACTTAGAACTGGATTCCGGAGACGACCGAGCACGGCCAGTGTGCTCTTGCATCCAGACAGCGTGACAAGGGACAAAGCGTGGCGTGTCCGGGAACCGTTGGCACAGCAGCCCCGTGGGGGCTCCCCGGACCCATCCCTGCCTCTTCCTTGCTGGAAGAATCCCAATCCTCAGCCCCTCCCCAGAGCAGGGCACGTCCAGTCCCACGAGTCACATTCCCCAGCAACTGGCTTCGGGCAAGCGTGAGACCTGCTGTGGCCAGTGAGGAGCGAGGGGCTGTTTCCAGGAGTTTCTGGAACAGATTTTCCCGCTGCTGAGCAGAGAAGTGCAGGAGACAGAGGCAGGTTCTCTCTTTCTGCTGATGGTGTGGGGGTGGCCTGTGGTGACTCCCGAGCCATGGCAGCCTCTGTGCCACCGTGAGGGACCTGGGTGACTCGAGCCATGGCAGCCCCTGTGCCACCGTGAGGACCCATGGGAGCTGCGGTGACTCTGAGCCATGGCAGCCCTGCCACTGTGAGGGACCTGATGATTCATGACCCCGAGCCATGGCAGCCTGTGCCACCTGTGAGGGACCTGATGGAGCTCTATGACTCAGCCAGTTGAGCCATGGCAGCCTCTGTGCCACCGTGAGGGACCTGATGGAGCCTGTGGTGACTCCTGGGCCATGGCAGCCTCTGTGCCACCGTGAGGGACCTGATGGAGGACCTTGCACCTCCCCGAGGTCCCAGAGCAGGAGGCGAGAGCAAGGCTGGGTCCCTGCCACCTCCAAGCCATGGAATGGGCCTGGGAGCCCTCCCCCATCTTCTGACTCTGTGGGATCCGTGGCCTCCCATCTTCTGGCTCTGTGGGATCTGTGGGATCCGTGGCCTCCCATCTTCTGGCTCTGTGGGATCCGTGACCTCCCCTATCTTCTGACTCTGTGGGATCCATGGTCCCCCCATCTTCTGGTTCTGTGAGAGCCGTGGCCCCCCATCTTCTGGCTCTGTGGGATCTGTGGGATCCGTGGCCTCCCATCTTCTGACTCTGTGGGATCTGTGGGATCCGTGGCCCCCCAGCTTCTGGCTCTGTAGGATCTGTGGGATCAGTGGCCTCCCCTATCTTCTGACTCTGTGGGATCCGTGGCCCCCCATCTTCTGGCTCTGTGGGATCTGTGGGATCCGTGGCCTCCCCTATCTTCTGGCTCTGTGGGATCCGTGGGCCTTTATTCGATCTTAGCAGCCTCAAGTTGGGTTTTCTGCTATTTGGGGTCAGAAGCACCCGAGCATTGCTCCACGTCCAGGTTTCACCAAGTAATCCTGTGAACCAGAGGCCGTCAGGTTCATCACCTGGATTCTGAGAGGAAAATAATCCCAGCTCTAAAACAGAAAGCTGTTAAAAATGGCACAAAGGCTGTAATCCCAGCACTTTGGGAGGCCGAGACAGGCGGATCACGAGGTCAGGAGATCAAGACCATCCTGGCTAACACGGTGAAACCCGTCTCTACTAAAAAAATACAAAAACCTAGCCGGGCGAGGTGGCGGGCGCCTGTAGTCGCAGCTACTGGGGAGGCTGAGGCAGGAGAATGGCGTGAACCCGGGAGGCGGAGCTTGCAGTGAGCTGAGATCTGGCCACTGCATTCCAGCCTGGGCGACAGAGCGAGACTCCATCTCAAAAAAAAAAAATGGCACAAAGGGCGCATCAGTGGCATCCGTCCACATCTTGTCCGGACAAGGCTGTCCAGACAAATAACTCCGCTCACAGTGGCTCTCCTGTGCGGGGGCTTGGCCTGCTCCAGACGCCATCTCACTAAGTTTTCTTACCTGCTCCAGACCCCGTGTAACCAAATTTTCTTGCACCGAATTCTCAGAGTGGCCACAGCTTCGAAGAGCAGGAAGCAGAGAGTTCTCACCTCTGGGAAGGCTGGGACCAGTGGCTTCAGAGCCCACGAGTTTCACCCTCCACCATCTGCCCCCGCCTGGGCCTCAGAGCCCAGAGCTGTGCCTGGGACTGGTCTGAGCCAGTGCCAGGGCCAGGAGGAGGGCTGGGAGCTGTTCCCATGGGTGGGGGCCCGAGGATCTTCCCTCTCTCCAGTGCCCGGGGTCTGAGTCTGTGGGCACCTGGCTGGGGGCACGCTCCCTGTCTCCCCCTGCCCATGGTGACGGCACTCGGCCGCCCAGTCTTGTTTACACATACGGCTCATCCATCAGCTGGATTCATAAACACGGCAGAGGCCTGGGAGCCGAGTGGCCCCGTGGCCGGATCAGGGTCCCGGGCGGGGGTCTGGCCCTCAGAGGGACTGCCAGTTGGTGCCTGGAGATTCCAGGCATGGCAGGCACCAGCAGGGTCTCCTGACCCACGTCTCTCCCAGACTGTGGCAAGGTGGGGAGTTACTCATTAACCCAGGCACAGCTTGGCTGGCATTTGATGAGGCTGGGTCTGGGTGAGCCGGGGTGAACGGAGCCCACCTTGAAATGAAGTGTTCGTTCTCCACGAGCAGCTGCTCTGAGAGGGCCGCGGTCTGCCAGGCCGGCCGGGGCTGTGAGGACGTGGTCCGTGGGTACCCAGATGGTGCCGTCTCTGGGCCCTGGAGGGCCAGGCTGCAGGTGCCGCCACCTTCCTGGGCCTCAGCTTCCCCGGCTGTAAAACGGGATGGTGACCTTCCTCACTCAGGTGCACTTCTGCAGCAGACGCAGGGCCCTGCCTCCGCGGACTAGGGACAGGTGAGAGCATGGTGCCGAGAGAGCTGCTCAGAGTGGAATTTGGGAAGCGTCTGAGGCCGACGGCATGCAGGGCCGGCCACGGAGCTGCATTCGTAACACCTGTTGGGGGTGTTTGGTGTTGAGAATGGACCGTTTCCCCGGCTGTTCAGAGGAAGCCTCTCTAATGTGTCTTCACAGCAACTCTAGGTGTCAGGGGAAGAGTCCTAGGTTCCCGGCAAGGGGAGTATCAGGTGGGGAACAGTGACGTGGCAGCCCCGTCTGCCCACACAGTCCACACTCTCCCTGTGCCAGGCCACGGCTTCTACACCTGGGGCCCTGGAGGGACCAGAGTCCAGGGGACATTTAGCTACCCCAGCCCGGCGTCCACAGGCTGGATCTGTGCGTGGCACGTTCTGCGGCGACGCCCTGTGATATTCTGCCCACGGCCTCTGTGTTAATCATTGATCTGGGCAACCCACAGACCCCTCCCCACTTCCCTGTGTGGGGGTCACGGGGGTGCTTAGTGGGCGTGTGACCCTGAGCCAGCGCCCCATTCCCCCGGGGAGGCCTGGACGAGTTCCCAGTCCTTGAGAGTGGATCCAAGGTCAGCTTGGAGCCCGGCAGCCCTGTGACAAAGATACTGACCCCCAGGGAAGGTCCCAGCGCGTCCCCACCCGGCTCCTCCGCTCGCCTCGGCAAAGGTGCGGGAGGCCGGTGAGTTCCATTTCGAGGAGCTGTCTGTGTTTCTGAACAAAAATGGGAGCTGGGCCAGGCTGGACAGCGGTCTCTGGGCAGGTCCTGCGGTGCTCAGACGCCCTGGCCGCAGGTGCCAGGAAGGGGAGAAGCGGCAGCATTGGATGTGCTGGTGGTTCCGAGGGAAGGAGCCGGGTGGGAGGTGGGGGTTTGGGCGGTGACCCCTCGCGTCCGTCCCACCCTGCGCCCACCTGGCTGGTGCTCACGTCCCTCCTCTTCCACCCACAGGGCACCGCATCCGTGCTGCAGCGCCGGTCCCCCAGTGAGGAGTACGTGGAGGTGGGGCGCCTCGGGCCCTCTGACTACTTCGGTGAGTCCAGTGGGCGTCCCCTCCCTTGCACGGCTGTGGCCGTCTCATTCGGGGTCCTGGGAAGGGCCTGGAGGTGAGGAGCTACTGGGGGGCCTCCCTGGGGCCTTGTAGCCGGGCTTGGCTGAGGCCCAGTGTGGCTGCAACAGAAGGCTCAGTCCTGTTCCCCCAAATTGAGGTCCCAGGGCCAGACTTGGATCCCCAGGAGCAACCAGCCCTGGATGTGGGGTCCCCCAGAGGGCATGACCTTGGGGGAGGCCGCCGCCTGCTTCGGGGATGAGGGGGCACAGTGTAGCCCTCAGCCACCAGCATTCCTGCAGCTGGGGGTGGGTGGGCTTGAGGGAGGCCCAGGCACATCTGGGCACACGTGGGCATTCCTGCAGCTGGGGGTGGGTGGGCTTGAGGGAGGCTCAGGCACACCTGGGCACACCTGGGCATTCCTGCAGCTGGGGGTTGGGGTCCTGAGGGAGGCCTGGGCACATGTGGGCATTCCTGTAGCTGGGGGTCGGGGTCCTGAGGGAGGCCTGGGCACACCTGGGCATTCTTGCAGGATTGCCCAAAAAAGTGCAGGACAACGCCCAGCTGAACGTGAATTTCAGATAATAAACAATTCATTAGCATAAGTATATCGCAAATAGTTCTCGGGCTATACTCATGCTACAAGTTTGTTTGAAATTCGAACATGCCTGGCACATCCTTCCCTTGAAAGGGAGACGATTCCTGGGTCCTGGGTGCAGCCTTTCCCTGCTGCGGCCTCAGGACCCCCAGGCCCCCAGGCCGGGCCCTGACCTCTCTCTTCACCCCCAGGGGAGATCGCACTGCTGCTGAACCGGCCCCGGGCGGCCACCGTCGTGGCCCGGGGACCCCTCAAGTGTGTGAAGCTGGACCGGCCCCGCTTCGAGCGCGTGCTGGGGCCCTGCTCCGAGATCCTCAAGAGGAACATTCAGCGTTACAACAGCTTCATCTCCCTCACCGTCTGAGCGCAGCCCCACCCTGCAGCCGCATCTCCCCATTGTGGTGGCCGTGCCGTGCTCGTCTGTGTCGGGGCCCGGGAGCCGCCGTGTGAGGTGTGGGCCGGGTGGGGCTGGGTCCTGGCAACCTGAGGACTGCCCCTTCCCCGGAGTCACGTTTTGGAATAAATAATCACCTTGTGCATTTCCAAATCAAAGGACAAGCGGACAAAGCGCATCCCAAGAGCAAGAAAGGGACAGGCCAGCTTCCTCCCCACACACCTCCCCAGCCGCCTCTGCGGGCTTGTCCTGGGGGGCCCATCCCACCCCTGCCAGTCTCCTGGAGATGCTTGAGGATGGGTCCTGCCCAGAACTAGGCCAGGACGTTGCCCCTGGGGCCTGGAGACCCTGTGAGGTCAGGTCCCCCAGATCGAGGTCCGAGTGGGGGCAAGAGTATGTCAATGGGGCTGCCCCCCAGGGGAGATGAGGCTGAAGAAAGAAGTCGAGGCCCCTCCCGCAAATGTGTGCCCCCGCCCTCCCCACCACATCCCACCGCACCCCCACCTCCCCAGGGGGCCTCGCTGCGGATGCCGGAGTGGGAGAGTCTCTGGGCTGTGAGATTGATCTTGCCTCTAACTGGAGAGGAAGCCAGGCACCGAGACACACGGGGCTCCTACCTTGGGAGCCAGGGCCGCGGCCGCAGGTAGACCCCAGTACGGGGGCCAGGCTCGAAGTTCCGTTGGGAGGGGCTGGTGGGACTCCAGCAGCCTGCTCTCACCTTTCTTAGAGAGTCCACCCAGGGTGAGTTGATGTTAGGGAAAAGCAGAGGTCAAGCCACAGCCGCGGGCCCCACGCCCCCCAACCCGCCCAACCAACTTGTCCCTTAAATGCGTCTTGGGTCCTGCGGTGATGATGGGAGCCAGCCAGGCCCGAAGGGGTGAGGCCAGTGCAGAGAAGCTCCCCAGGGGGCCCCTGGGTGCCCCGAAAGACAAGTGAGGCCATGCAGTTCACCTGATGTTGCTCCCGTCCCTTGTGTCCCGGGGAGGCTGTCCTTGGTCCGAGGTCACACGTTGCAGCCCCTCCCTCCTGGCGGTTACGATGCGTGGGGCCCCTCCCCGCCCAGCCCCAGCCACGTCGCCGTGTCCCGCCTGTGCCTGTGGTGTCCTGTGGACCTGTGAGCCCGCCCCACCTTATCTCTGCTCTGAGTGCTGCATGAACCATTAAATGTGCAATGAAGTACCTCTTCCCGCCTCGGGAGGCCTTGGTCTGAAGTCTTTTGTAGATAAGGGTTTTTTTCTTTTTCTTTTTTTTTATGGTGCTAAAATACACATAACACAAAAGTTGCCATTTTAACCACTTTGAAGTGTCCAGTGCAGTGGCGTTATCCACACCGTGGTGCAGCCATCACCACTGTCCCACGATCGCTGGCGTTATCACACGGTGGTGCAGCCACCTGTCCACGATCCAGCCTGGTTATCCACACCGTGGTGCAGCCACCACCACTGTCCACGTCCCAGCCTGGCGTTATCCACACTGTGGTGCAGCCACCACCACTGTCCACGTCCAGCCTGGCGTTATCCACACCGTGGTGCAGCCACCACCACTGTCCATGTCCAGCCTGGCGTTATCCACACCGTGGTGCAGCCACCACCACTGTCCGTCCAGCCTGGCGTTATCACCACTGTCCACGTCCAGCCTGGCGTTATCCACACCGTGGTGCAGCCGCCACCACTGTCCACGTCCAGCCCTTTCATCTTCCCAAGTGGAAACTCTGTACCCGTTAAACAGCAGCTCCCGCTTCCAGCCCGAGGAACCACCTGTCCACCCTCTGTAGCCCTGTGTATCCAGACGTTCTCATTTCAGCGCTGTCACTATACATGAGGGTCCGTGCTGCCCACCGCCGTGTCCCAGTGTGGCCAAGTAGACAGGGCCCAGCTCCCTGTCTCTGCACACAAGGGTCCATGTCCTGCCGTGATCCCAGGTGGTCCTGTTCCTTGTGACTGTTTTGTGGGCCCTGATACGGACACCCAGATCCCAAGGCTGCCCCGGGAGGGGTCAGTGTGTGCCAGGGCCAGGGTTCCCTCGACCTCTGGATGGGATGGTAAACTCGGGTTCCAAGGGCAGGCCCAGCCCACTCATGCACCTCAGGCCCCTGGGATCTCTTTCGACTGGGCACTGAGTAGGCCTGCAGGAAACATTTCAATAAATAAGCAACAGTGAATAAGGGTTGCAGGAGAGAAACTTGGGGAGATTCGGGCTCTGACATCCACAGGCCAGACACAAAGGAACTTTGACCCCAGTCTCACACCTTATGCAAAAATTAACTCAAAATGGATCACAGACTTACACATAAAACTGGAGGGAAACTGTTCTTAGACTTGGCACCGGTCCATGGAAGGGGAATTTGATAAGTTGGAATTCATCAAAATTAAAAACCGGCACCTGCAACAGACCTTGTGAAGATGAAAATACGAACCACAGACTGGGAGAAAAGATTTTCAAACCACATGTATCCCAGAGAGGACTAATACCTAGAATCGATCAAGAACTCTCAAAACTCGGCCAGGCGCGGTGGCTCACGCCTGTAATCCCAGCACTTTGGGACGCTGAGGCAGGCGGATCACAAGGTCAGGAGTTTGAGACCATCCCGGCCAATATGGTGTAACCCTGTCTCTACTAAAAATACAAAAAACTTAGCCAGGTGTGGTGGCGCATACCTGTAATCCCAGCCACTTGGGAGGCTGAGGCAGGAGAATCGCTTGAACCCAGGAGGCGGAGGTTGCAGTGAGCTGAGATGGCGCCACTGCACTCCAGCCTAGGTAACAGAGTGAGACTCCATCAAAAAAAAAAAAAAAAAAAAAAAGGCACTGTGTCCTATAGAGAAACAGGATCACTCAGACACTGCTTGTGGGAACATAAGATGGGGCAGTCACTCTGGAAAATAGCACATAGTTTCTTAACAACACAAAAAACTGAACTAAGCGTGCAATTACCGTACAACACAGCAAATTGCATTCTTGGGCATTTATCCCAGAGCGAAGACACAAACCCACACGTGCATGAACACAGCAACTTGACTCAAAGAGCCTCAAGCTGGAGACAACCGTGGCATCCTTCAGTGGGGTGAACCGTGGCACGTCCGTGCCCCGAAACGCTACTCGGCACTGAAAAGGAGCTATCGGTGTGCCCAGCAACTGGGATGGAACTGTCAGAGAACAACGCTGCGGGAAAGAAGCTGTGTACTCTACGATTCCGTTGACACGACATTCTGCGGATGCCAGAATCGGGGCTAGCAGTTGAGGAGGAGGTGGTGTGACTCTGAAAGGGCAGCTGGGGCTGGGCGCAGCAGCTCACACCTGTCATCCCAGCACTTTGGGAGGCTGAGGCAGACTGATCACCTGAGTCAGGAGTTTGAGACCAGCCTGGCCAATATGGCAAAACCCCGTCACTACTAAAAATACACAAATGAACTGGGGGTGGTGGTGGGCGCCTGTAATCCCAGCACTGTCGGAGGGGTGGGTGGGTCCCCTGAGGTCAGGAGTTCGGGACCAGCCTGGCCAACATGGCAAACTCTCATCTCCACTACAAATATAAAATCAGCCAGGCGTGGTGGTGCATGCCTGTAATCCCAGCTACTTGGGAGCCTGAGGTGGGGGATTGGGTTGAACTCGGGAGGTGGAGGTTGCAGTGAGCCAAGATCACACCACTGCACTCCAGACTGGGTGACAGAGCAAGATTTTTGTCTCAAAAAATAAAAAGGCAGCCAGAGCTGTTCTGTGGCTCGAGCATCAATGTTGAGATCTGGCTGTGATATGCTGGGGTAGTTTAGCACGACGTTACCACTGGGGGAAACTGGGTGAAGGGTACACCCATCTCTGTATTTTGGGGTGTTTTTTTTTTGAGACAGGGTCTCCATTTCTTGCCCAGGCTGGAGTGCACTGGTGTGATCACAGCTCACTGCAGCCTTGACTGCCTGGGCTCAAGCAATCCTCCTGCCTCAGCCTCCCAAGCAGCTGGGACTACAGGCAGTCACCACCATGCTCAGCTAATTTTTAAATATTGTGTAGAGCCAGGGTCTCACTAGATTACCTAGGCTGATCTCAAACTTCTGGCCTCAAGCAATCGTCCCACCTCAGCCTCCTGAGTAGCTGGGACCACAGGCATGTGCCACCATGCCCAGCTAATTTTTTTTAAATTATCATTTGTAGAGACAGAGCCTAACCATGTTGCCCAGGCTAGTCTCAACCTTCTGGGCTCAAGTGATCCTCCCCCCTTGGCCTTGCAAAGTGCTGGAATCACAGGCATGAGCCACTGCGCCCGACCAGGACATGTGTTTTCACTTGCCTTGGGTCAATACTGAGGCAGGGAAGGGCTGGATCGCATAGTAAGTGTGTGTTTCACTGACGAGAAATTGCTGAACGCTTCTCCAAAGTGGCCGACCACGTTGCCTTCCTGCCAGCAGTGTGGGGGAGTTGCAGGTACCCCGCCTCCTCACCAGCACTTGGTGTAATCAGGCTTTCTAATTTTGGCAGTTCTGATGGGTGCAGTCGTATCTCGCCGTGGTTGTAATTGCGTTTCCTGATGACGGACGATGTGGAGCATCTCTTCGTGTCTGTATCGACTGCAGATCTTCTTTCGTGAGATGTCTGCTCAAATCTTTTGCCCATTTACAGAGATGGGGCTGTCTTTGTCTCACTGGGCTGGAGGAGGTCTTTGTGTATTCTAGACACAGCTCCTCCGTCAGACGCACACATTGCAAACACTTTCTCCCAGCCTGCAGCTGGCCTTTTCATGTTCTTAAATGATGTCTTCTAAATAGCAAAAGTCTTCAGTTTTTTTTAGAGTCCAATTTATCCCCCTTTTTTTTGTGGTTCAGTGTCCTATTTTGAAAATTGCTGGGTGAGGTGTCTCATGCCTGTAATCCCAGCACTTTGGGAGGCGGAGGCAGGAAGATTGCATGTGGCCAGGAGTTCAAGCCTGGGCAATGTTGTGAGACTGTATGCCTTACAAAAAAAAATTGTTTAAAATAGCCAGGCGTGGTGGTGCACACCTGTAGTCACAGCTACTCGGGAGGCTTAGGCAGGAGGATTGCCGGAGTCCAGGAGGTCGAGGCTGTGGTGAGCTATGATCATGTCACTGCCCTCCTGGGTGACAGAGTGAAATCCTGTCTCAGAAAAATAAATAAATAAAAATAAAAAATCATTGCCTGCTCCAAGGTGGCCAACCAGTGTGTACCGGACTCCCAATGTGCACCTGGCACTGAACTCAGCCCTAGAGATATGGCAGAAAACAGCCGTCTTGGCACTGACGTTCTAGTGGGGGCACTCCCTTCGCCCCTTTCCAGCCCCTGTTCCCCAACACCACCCAGAGAGAAGTCCAGCAGGCCCCGCCAAGTTTCCCTCTGCCCTTGCTGTGTGAGCTTGGGCAAGGCCTTTGGCATCTCTGTGCCTCGCCCTCTCCGCTCTGATGTAGCCTGGGCATGCACGTCTGCCCTCCAGAGTATCGGGAAGAGAACCAAGTGGGAGCCTTACCTTACCCAGGAAGCCTTACCTGGGGTGGGCTCAGGTGGGGCCCAGGCGAGGACTGGGTCTGGGGGCTGTGATGTGGGAGGAGTGGGTGACCTGAGGCAGACCCACCTCCAGAGAGAGTCAGAGGCTGCCCTGCCTGGGGGAGGCTGCCTGGGAGCCTCGGACCCCTTGCCTGCGCTGCGCAGCCTGACTCCCAGTGTCCTGCGGGCCAAGTGTGAGGCTGCCAAATAGCAAAGGGCCCCGTGCAAGGAACAGATGAGGAAGCAGAGGTTCCAGCGTGCAGAGGTTGGCCTAGGGTCACCCAGAAGGCAGGTGCAACTGGAATCCCTGCTCCTGGAAAGGGCCAGCCTGGGCCCCACCTGCCACCAACCAGGTCTCTGACGGACACAACAGACACTGGGCCCTGGGGTGGGTCCCCAGGACGAGGCCTGGAACCACTGAGAACATCCAGGACGGGCACCCTCGCTGGCCTCTGCCCCTTGCTGGCTGTGGAGACAGTGAAACCCCTTCCCCTGGGGCAGGAGGCAGAGCAGTGGGGACTCACACACCCACCTGTCCTGGCAAAGCACTGGCTCATTTGCTCATCTGTTGACTCATTCATTCATTCATGAACCTGCTCATTCATTCATTCATTCGTGAACTTGCTAATTCATTCATTCATGAACTTGCTCATTCATTCATTCATTCGTGAACTTGCTAATTCATTCATTCATGAACTTGCTCATTCATTCGTGTTTGTTCATTCATTCATTCGTCGGTCCATTCATTCATTCATTCAGCCATTCGTTCATTTCTTCATTCATTAGTTCATTCCCTCATTTCTTCACTCATTCCCTGATCCCTTTGACAGTCTGAGCCCCTTTCGCACAGTCCTGGCAGTTGGGAGGTGGCCTAGCTCTCCCCAGAGAGACACTTCCCTGGAGGTTGGAATTCTGGCCAAAGGATTCCAAGGAGGACGGACCTTCTGTTGGGTCCAGAAGCCAGCAGGTGACCGTAGGCTCCTGTCACTATTCTAGATGCAGGGGCTTTGCCTGGGGCTGCCCAGCCCTGCCCGATATGGGCCCCAAGCCTGGACCTCTGGGGGCCTCAGCTTTCCGGTCTGTAAGATGGGTGTCACGGCCCATCCAGGCTGTTGGTGGAATGAGCTAATTACTGGCGGGAAGAGGCTTGGCAGGGGTCTCAGGCTGAACAGTGGCACTGGCCCACGCGCCCTGCTGGGGTGAGCTGGCCTCCGGGGACTGGCCTTGGCTGAGGCCCCTCCAGACCACGGACAGTCCTGGCCTCACCTCCCCTGGCTCAGGGTGGCTGAATCAGCCGGCGGGGGTGACTCACTTTGAGGCCAGGCAGTTTCCTCCCGGGCCCCCCAGCTGCCACGCTGGGGAGACAGGCAGGCCCCGCCATATGAGGCCTGGGACTTGGGGGTGATTTCATGTCTGGAGGTTGGGCCAGGAGGCCCTCGGCAGGGGTGATTCTGGGATCCTGGGCCCCACCCTTCAGAGCTTCATTTGGCCGCAAGGGTTCTGGTCTAGGAGACTCCCGGTCCAGATGCGCCCTGGGCCTGCCCTAGCCTCGTCAGAGTCCAGCTCATCCTGGCCCCATCCAGAGCCACCAGCCGCACTGACCTCTCACTCCCCTCTTGGGCCGCTCTTGCCTCCTGGAATGTGACCAAATTAGGCGTCTGGTGACTAACTTTCCTGCCCGAGCTCCACCTCCAGTTGGTCAAAGGATTTCCCTTCCTTGAGGGCTCCTCTAGTCCGGTTCTAACTTCTCCCCCAGGGAGTGCAGGGAGGTCCTCGGCTCACCTCTCAATCTGGGCCTGCCCCTGGCCTGCTTGGGGGCCCCCAAGGCTCTCGGAAGCTTTTCACGGGAACAACTTTACAGTCGAATCTTGCAGGCACACAGTGGGTTTGTTAATGCACGCATAGGGCTTTTCTTCAGCCAGGCGGAAGGTCACCGGGTTGGGTTCCACTGATCCCAGCAGGGGGTCCGCTTGGGGACGGAGCGCTGTGTCACTCCGCTGGAGACCTCCCTTAGAATTGAGACTGTCAGCCCTTCACCAACCTCCTTAGCCAAACATTGTTCTTACTTTTGCAGTTGGGGAAATTGGGCTGTTGTATTTCAGGAATGCACTTGAAAAGGAGCCTGGTGATCCCCGGCCTGGCACGCTGCGGTCCTGCCTGGGCTGGCGTGTGCTGTGCCGGGTAAAGCACGGAATTACACGGTCACCTAACGTGGCTCAAACCCTGGTCCCAGCTCCTCCTCGCTGTGTGGCCCCAGGCACGTTCTTTAACTCTTCTGAGTCTGCTCGCCTCGTCTCTAAAGTGGGGGTCACAATGTCCATCCCGTGGGGTGGGAGGTGAGTGTGAAGCGAGATTGCACGGATGGAGCTGGTGGCACGGGGGGCGTTCGCGGCTGTGGAGCTGGTGGCACGGGGTCTGGTGCAGAGGACGTTCACGGCTGTGGAGCTGCTGTCACGTATGACGTCTCTGTCACACCCAACGGTGACGGGAACCAGGCCCTCCACACCCCGACATGTGCCGCCCGGAGCTTCTGCCATGTGTGCCATGTCCTTCGGCTCCCAGTGGGCCCGGTGGGCCTGCAGTAATCCTGCAATGCTGCCTCCTCCTCCCCTTCAAGGCCCTGAGCACAGCGGCTAGAAATGAGGCCTCCCCTCCTATCCTCCTATTCCCCAAGCCAAGCGTCTCCCCACCTGTGGCTGGCCCCTGAGAACTCCCTGACGAGGGACGAGGTGCCTCTCAGCAGTCCCCAGTTTTGGAAAAGTGACAGACGTCCCCATGGACGCAGCCTGCCCTGTGGCCCTCCCCCGATCTGCCGGGCGATTGCTGTGCGCGTCACATACAAAACCTGGTGGCAGGAAACAGCCGCCTCGTGTTCACCACGGATGCTGCGGAGCAGACCTCAGACGGGGCCGGTGAGTGGGGCTTGTGTGCTCCTGAAGCTTGGGGTCTGGGCTCAGCGGGCTCCCTGGGGGTGGGGGTGGGTCGGGGGCTCAGCAGGCTCCCTGGGGGTGGGGGGGCTCAGCGGGCTCCCTGGGGGTGGGGGTGGGTGGGGGGCTCAGCGAGCTTCCCAGGGGTGGGTGGGGGGTTCAGCGGGCTCCCTGGGGGTGGGTGGGGGGCTCAGCGGGCTCCCTGGGTGTGGGGGTGGGGGGTGATGGCACCTACACCCTGTGCGTCTTAGGCTTCCTCCCAGCCTGTGGCCCCAGCAGAACCAGACTTCCTTCAAGGCAGCTGAGGACTCCAAAAGCCGGTCGGTTCCAGCCACCCAGGTGTAAGGTACGTGGCCTTTTACGACCGAGTCTCAGAGGCCACAGAGCGTCGCTTCCAGCAGGTTCTATGGTTGATGAAGTGCCAGCCCGCCTGGATCCAGGGGGACACAGACCCCCACCTGCTGATGTGAGAGATCAAGGGACTGGTCGTCCTGTTTTAAAACCACCACACCCTCCTGGGTGCAGGGACTCTTTTGACCCAGGTGGGCTTTGGCCGGGGGTCAGCAGGCATCAAGCTAGTTGTGCGATGCACAGCACCTGCTTCGCTCTCTAGTCCCAGGGACAGGCTCCGGTGTTCATGACATGGACACAGGCCAGCTAGTCCCTCTGTACCAGAGGGTGTGTCTTGCACTCAGAAGTTTGATGAATGAATGTACGACCAATTCTAAACCCAGACAGGACTCTTACAGAGGCAGCTGGGTCAGAAGGAATGGAACCGCTGCTTCGACGAGCCCCAGAGACCTTGGGTGGGGTGGGGAAGCTGAGCCTCGGAGTCAGCGGGTCTGGCTGGGGTGCCAGAGCTGAGGCGGGAGCCCCCCTGGGCCTCTCACACTTCTCCCCTCCAAGCTACCCAAGTCAGAAGGAGTCTTGTCATTTTGTTTTTGGGCTGATTATCGTTGCTCTCTCAATACACTCAAGGAAACTACACGCTTCAGAAGGACGAGGTCCTGGTCGTACGCTGGTGCTCCTAGGAACCCACATTTATGTTTTTCTGTAGGCTGAAGAAATCACAACAGGAAGCTGTCACGAAGGTAGACAACCCTGGCATCAACTCTCCGCATTGCAGGAGGGCAGAGACGCTGCCCCCCAACCCCGAGGCGGTGAGGGGGCGAGGCTTGGCCAGGGACGGGGTGGGGGTGGGGGGCCCCTCTGGAGGGGTGAGGCTTGGCCAGGGACGGGGTGGGGGTGGCCTCTGGGTGCCCCCGGCCCAAGGACTGACCATGCCCAGGACCAAGCTCTGGGTCCTCCGGGACTGGGGACTGGGGCCCAGGTACCTGAGATGGGGTGAGGGAGACTGGCCCAAGGGCCCATAGGGAGCAGGGGGAGGCAGGCTGGTTCCACGGACCCCCGCCTTCCCGCTCCCACTCTGGGATCCTCTTTACCCAGCTCGGGGTTGGGATCCAGCCTGGGCTTGCCCCGCCAGCCTTGCCTGTCACTGGGCCATAAACCCCTCCTGTTTATGGGCCGGGCCGCCCCAGTGGAACCTGGCCAGGTTCCTCCTAAGAGGGCAGGCTCACTGCCTCTGGGAGTCCCCTCCACACCGCACTGGGCGGCCGCTGGGAGGCCCGATGAGGTGGCTGGAGGTGTGGGAGGCCCTGTGAGCAGTGGATGGTCCCCCTGCGGGGACGGCGGCTGGAATTCTCAGGCCCCAGGCTCTTCCCGGGCCTTAGTGCATCCAGGCAGCCCAGCACACCCCTTCACCACCCACCCCACCCCCGGTGCAGGGGAGGCCTGTGCAGGAGGCCCCACACCTGTCCACCTCCACCTCTAGGCTGAGAACCCAGGACAGCAGGGGCAGGGGCCCAGCGTAGGGGGCCTGGGCCTGTCCCCACCAAACGTGTGACGTGCACACGGAGTGTTGGTTTAATGCCACAGACGCTCCCCGGTGCCTCCTGTGTCAGTGGTGGGGACTCAGGGGCCCTCAGAGAACCCCTGTTCCAGCAGGCAGGTGGGGACTGCAGATCCCTTGGAGAGTGTGGGCAGGTGGAGGAGGGTCACCCTGAGCCCCCGGAACCCACTCGCCGGCCTCAGGAGGCAGCTGCACACCCGGCCCCCACCCAGCCCCCTCCCAGTTCCACCAGCCCCTGGGACAGGCTGCAGGGCTGGCCAGGAGTCTGGCACCACACCGGCCCCCAGAGGTGGTGCCTCTGCCGGCAATGAGTGGGGGGCACAGGGTCTCCTCATCAAGTCTCCGCTGGCGCAGCCTAGACACTGTCCCCAACGGGAGCCCCTCGCCAGCTGGGAGGGGCCTTCCAAGTCGGGGAGGCAGACAGGACGCCCTGTGTAGGTGACAGAGAGGGCAGCCGCTCTGAGCTCAGGGCCCGGGGAGGCGACCGTGTGGCAGGCGGGGTCTGTGTGGGGAATGCCCACAGCCCTGCTGACTCCACTGGGTTCCCGGCATCCCTGGTCCGACCTCCAGGTCGGCTTCTGGGACCCCACCGGTCTGAGGGATGGGGAAGGAAGGGGTAGGACGGACAACTGTGCCGGGGAGGGGACCCCAGCCCTGGACTCTGGCTGGCTCTAAACATCTCGGGACCACGCCCACCGGCCCAGTCTGGCTGCAGAGAGGTTTGGAGGAGCCACCAGAGCGAAGGGGGGTCACCAGCATCTTTAGAAACCGCAGGATGCTGATGCCCCCGGAGCCCCCGTTGGCTCGGTCGGGGAGTGGGAGCCCTGGGGGACGTGTGAGCTGTGTCCCTCTCAGCAAGTCTGGCTTCCTTGGGGCCTGGGAGAGGACACTGAGGGCTTTCTGTCCCCATGTGGGGGTTGCAAGGTGAGCCTCTCAGGAGCTCCTCCCTCCTGTCTAGGGGGTGCCCCGTCTCTCCCCACACCTTGCTGGGGTGATGGGGAGGCCCGGGGGGCCTCAAGATTCTCTGAGGCCTGGGGGCTGGCCTGGCCGGCAGGGTCAGGAAGTGAAGGGCTGGCATGGGGGAGGGAGGGGAAGACTGGAAAGTGCATTCCAGGAGGGTGACACAGCCTGCGGCCTTGGGGCGGGGCGGGACCAGGCTGGGCTGCCCTTCTCGGGAAGGTCCCTGGGATCCAGCTCCCCGGGGAGGCAGATAAGACGGGTGGGGCCTGGCTGCATGGGAAGAGGAAATTCCAGGCCTGGGACAGCTGCTGCTGTCCTTCAAGGCTGGATTGAAATGCCACCTCCTCCTGGGAGCCTTCTCAGATTTCTCTGCAGCCCCTGGTCAAAGGGAGCCTCCTCCAGGGACCCTGGCTTCCCTGGGCTCTGGTCCAGTCGGCCCCATGCTGGGCCCTCCATGGCCCTGATCCACTGCAGTTCAGTGCACCTCTGCTGTGTGCCCTGGAACCTAAGCAGGGCCTGGCCGGGCCACCTACACCCACAGAGCTGGGGTGGGTGTGTTCCCTGCACCCAAGCCCCACGGCCAGGCATGGAGGGAGGGGGTGTATGAGTGAGGGCCACGGCCTGGTAGGGGGAGTCGGTGGTATCCTGCACTGGGTTTCCTGGTGCTTCCTGTGCCCAGCGCTGTTTCGAGCCCTCTGCATGGATGAACTCAGTCTCTGTTCCTGGTTCCCCTGGAGTGTAGGTGAATCAGCCCCGTTTTACAGCCGAGGACACTGAGGGCAGTCGTGGTAAGGCCAGGTCCCTGGCAGTCCCTCTCCCACCTGGGGCAACCTGGGAGCTGGGTGTCTTTTTTTGGGGGGAAACCCTCAGGAGAGTGAAAGCCAGGCTCGCTGTCCCTGGGGGCCTCCACCGCCGTGAAGGGGTGTACCCCCGGCCCCTGAACAAGACCCCCCTCCACCACACCCAGTCCCCCTTGGTCGCCGCTGCCCCGGCTTGGCAAGGCTCCACGGAGCCCACTTCAGGGAAGTGAATATGGATGAGTTTAGGCCCCTGAAAGTCTCCCGAGCAGAGTCTGGTGGTGCCCAGTGGCGATAACCACCCCCGCCCCCCATGTACCAGGCACTGGCATTGGCTCATTTCATCCTCACCACAGCCCGAAGTCAAGGGGGGCTGCCAGCCTCCAGGTAGGCCCCGAGGTCCCACCTCCCGATGCCTGTGCCCTCCGGAGCCCCTCCTGCATTGACAGGGTCCGTGCTGGAGTGGGGCCTCCCAGAGTGGTCAGACAAGACACGGGGGCTTTGGCCTTTGGCTGTTTGGGCCTCTTGCTCCCCGGGAAGCCAACCGCCGTGCTACGAGGACACTCACAACAGTAGCTGCGGGGCGAGAGACCCACGCCTCCTAGCAACCACAGCCTGGCCCACGGGATCCCGAGGAAACCGTTTCTGAGTTCCTGACTGACGACACCGTGAAGTCATGAATTTGTTTTGTTTTTGTTTTTTGAGGCAGGGTCTCGCTCTGTTGCCCGGACTGGAGCACAATGGTGAAGTCACGGCTCACTGCAAGCTCCATCTCCCGGGCCCAAGCTATCTTCCCACCTCATCCTCCCAAGTAGCTGAGACTATAGGCACGCACCACCACGCCTGGCTAACTTGGTAATTTTTTGTAGAAATGAGATCTCTCTATGTTGCTCAAGCTGGACTCAACCTCCTAGGCTCAAGTGTTCTCCCGCCTCGGCCTCCCAAAGCGCTGGGATCACAGGCGTGGGCCATGGTGCCCTCCACGAGTCTTCACTGTTGGGTTGAGACTCTGCATTTGGAGGTAGTTGTAGTTTATCAGGCAGCCACAGGGAACCATGGCAGCGAATGTTATGTCATTTCTGGGATACTAAGGATAAGTGTGGTTGTCATCCAGGAACTCATCCAGGAACAGGCTACAAGGAGACTCTGGACCCTGGGCCGTCAGGGCTGAGTGACCCTCATCTGTGGGACCTCACGGCCTCTCTGGAATTCCAGGATCTCTGACGGACACTCTGGGAGACACCCCGCAGTTCCTGGAGGCCCCTCCAGCCTGGTTTCACACAGGGCCTCGCTGACGGGCCAGAAGACCGCGATGGCTTTGAAAAGCGAGAGCGGGCAGCGCTGCCTCCTGAGGGCTCTCCAGGGACCGGGCCGGGCCGGCTTGGGCCTAGGCCAGACCTAGCCCCTGAGGTTTGCTAATGGAAAGTGGGTCTGGGCTCTGCCCCCATCAGCTCCTCCAACAAGAGCCCGGGTGGGGGAGGACAGAATTATTTATAACCTGTGGACTGCCAGGGAAGGGCTCTGTAACTCAGGGAGGGCCCCAGACTTGGCAAGGGCGGTGCCTTCAGGAGCCAAGGCCCTCACCTCTCCTGCCAGGGGTTCCTTTTAGCGTCTTAAGGTGGATCTCCCCATTCCCTGGGCTTTTTAGGTAGCCAGGGAGCAGAGCTGTGACTTGACTGGCTTAGGGTTTTTTTTTTTTTTTTTTGAGATGGAGTCTCGCTTTTGTCGCCCAGGCTGGAGTGCAGCGGCGTGATCTCGGCTCACTGCAACCTCCGCCTCCCGGGTTCAAGCGATTCTCTGGCCTCAGCCTCCTGAGTAGCTGGGATTACAGGCGTGAGCCACCATGCCTGGCTAATTTTGTATTTTTAGTAGAGACGGGGTTTCTCCGTGTTGGTCAGGCTGGTCTTGAATTCCCAACCTCAGGTGATTCGCCCGCCTCAGCCTCCCAAAGCGCTGGGATTACAGGTGTGAGCCACCGTGCCCTGCCAACTGGCTTGGGTTTTAAAATTAAGGCTCACTCTAGGACCGTAGGAAGCCAGGGAGATGGCTGAAGGGAGGCCACAGACAGGTATCCTGGGAGAAGAGGTGGGACCAGGTGGAGGTTCTACCTGGTTAGGTTTGGGAGAGGCTCAGAGGTTGAGTCAACAAGGGCTCCCCAGACCAGAGGCACTAGGTGAGGGGGAAGGTGCAGGCCGGCTGCCCCTTGCTGGCCTGGGCAGCTGGGAGGTGGTGTCATCGTTGTCTGGGGGACAAAGCTGGGGCTGTGGGTTTGGGGCTCTGTGTGGGCCATCTTGATATCAGCTTGTCTATAGACACCCACGCAGAGGTGTTGAGTGGAGCTGGACCCAAGTCCAGGTGTCAGCTCGGAGGGAGCATTGCCCCCATGAAAAGATGGCTGAGTGAGCTCTGGGCTCTCCTGGGTGAAGAGAAGGAGCCGGGCCAGGCTCACACCTGGAATCTCAGCACTGTGGGAGGCCTAGGCGGGAGGATCACTTGAGCCCAGGAATTCGAGACCAGCTGGGCAACACAGTGAGACCCTAACTTTACAGAACATACCAAAATTAGCCGGATGTGGTGGCTTGCACCTGTAATCCCTGCTACTTGGGGGGCTGAGGTGGGAGCATCACCTGAGCCTGGGAGGTGGAAGTCGCCGTGAGCTGTGGTTCAACCGCTAGTTCTGCAGCCTGGGGAACAGAGCAAGACCCTGTCTCACAAGATAAAAATAAAACAATAAAGAAAAGAGGAGGAGCCCAGGAAGGCGATGGGAAGGAGTAGCTGGGGTTGACTCCAGAACACAGGGCTGGGGGTCCTGGAACAGGAGAAGAAGGCACGTCGGGGGGCAGGTGTGCGACACTGCGGCAATGTCACGTCAGATAAGGAGAAAGAACTGAGCAGAGGGGTCAGCGCCGGTGAGGCCGTGGCACACCTCACAATGGGAGATCTGTGGGTTGGACAGCAGTTCAGGCGTGGGCATCTCAGCCCCTGGCCAAGGACTGCGTTCTGAGAAAGCTTCATTGATCTTACCAGTAGGCGGACGGGGTGGTTCTCACTCTTTCTTGCTGACGTGAATCAGGGCTCTCCAGCCGCTCCTGGCAGCCATCTTGTCACCATGAGGGAACCCAAGAGGAGTGCAGAGATGCAGAGCCGGACCCTTGATCGGACCCCTCCTGAATCCCGCCTCTGGGCTTCCCAGTAAGATCCCTGACTGTTTGGGTTGAGTTTCTATTTCCTGGAGCTGAACGCATGGGCTGAAAGAGACAGTCTGTCCGACAGGCAGGTTAAGTCCCTGGTTCACGTGTTTGTCACCCAACCTCACCTTCTAGACGGCCAGTCCCATGAGGGTGGGACTGTGTCCCTGCTGTGTCCCCTGACTAGAACGGGGTGCACACGGAGTACACAGTACGTGCAAAATAAATACTGTTGCATGCAGCCGGGTGCAGTGGCTCACTCCTGTAATCCCAGCACTTTGGGAGGCTGAGACAGGAGGATCACTTGAGGCCAGAAATTGGAGACCAGCCTGGGCAACTTAGCAAGATCCTGTGGCTACAAAAACTTAAAAAGAAAATACTGTTGAATGAAAGTGTCTTAAGTCACACTATCCAAACAAGTGGGGGTGGGGGAGAGAGAGACAGAGAGACAGAAAGAGAGAGAGAGAGAAATGGAGAGATGGAGAGAGACAGAGATAAACAGAACGGGGAGAGAGAGACAGAGACAGACACGGGGTGAGATGGAGAGAGAGGGAGACAGAAACAGAGATACAGAGATAGCGAGATGAGGGGGGAGACAGAGAGACAGGCCAGGCCCTGTCTGATAATCCCACCCAGAAGTTTACAGTCAGCAGATCTAGGGATCATTTCGGACCCCCGAGTTTGCTGTGCGGATTATTTCGGATTTCGAGGGGGAGGGGTGCACTGTGATCCTGGCTGCCGCTGAGGGCTCGGAAGGTCTGACTTGTGCTAAATGGGGTCACCGGGCACCTGCGGCGCAGGGGGCTGCCTGCTGTCCAGCCCAACAGACGAGGCTGTGAAGAGCAGGTGCCGACCTGGCTCCTGCCCCACCAGGGTGGGGCGGAATTGCTCCTGTTCACCGGGCACCTGCTGTGTGCCAGGCAGTGGGTCTGTGCCCTCCTCATCACCCGCAGCCGTCTCCCCCAGGCCAGGGCGAGTGCCGGCTGCCCTGGGCTGTGCACCAGGCCTGTGCTGCGCCTGTCGTGGTGTTCCGTAAACAGCCCTCACGAGCAGCCACGTGGGCTGCATTGCGTCTTATCACCTTTAGGCCATGGGGGCTCAGAGAGGAAAGTAACCCATCCGAGGTGCACAGCGGCCAGCGGCAGAGCTGCCGCCTCCTTCCCTCCCTCCCTCCGCCCACGTCGGGCGCCCAGCGGGACTGGACGTCACGGGCAGTGGGGGAAGCCTAGTTTCTGCCATTTCCACGCAGGGGCGGGGGATACTCACCTGTGCTATCCCACCAGAGGGGAGCCTCCGCCACAGCCCAGAGGTGCACCTCGGGTCACAGCGAGGCGAGGATAAGATTATCTGATGTCCTTTGCTCTCTCCTGTGCAGAAAAACAGCCCCAGGCTAAAATGGCTTCTCCAGTGGTCCAGACAGGGAGGGACCTCAGAGCTCACCCACCGCTCACTGGAACCCTCGCTCAAAGGCCAGGGGACGAGACCTCAAGGAGGAAGAGTGTGCCGAGGTCACTCAGAGTGGAGGTTTGAGCCCCGGGTCTCTCCCACCCCACTCCCCAGTGCTCCAGTTACGTGCACACCAGCTAAGCCAGGGGTCACCGTTGCCAGGGGTCACCGTTGCCAGGGGTCACAGGTCGCCCAGCCGGAACAGTGCAGGAGCTGCAGCTGGGTGAGGACAGAGAAGTCCCCTCGGGCAGGCCTGGGAAGGGAGGGGCGTGGTGTTCTCTTCTGCCTGCTGGGGGCCGTTTCTCACTGGTGACCCTAGGAGCCCTGGGTGCTGTGTCCAGACCTGGCCAATCAGACCATTGTCCCCGACCATGGTCACTGACCTGGGGCAGCACAAGCCCAGACTTAGCCAGCGAGATGCAGTCTTGCAGCTCTGAGTCTGGGGCAGCGAGGGTGTCAGTCTGCCGTCATGCTGCTGTGAAAGGGAGATGACGGCAGGACATAGCACCAAAGACATGGGCCGAGAGCCCTGATCCAGCCATGCCTGAAGCTGCTCACTCCTGAGCCTGACAGGTACGTGGACCAATGCATCCTCCTGCTTCCTTGGGCCAGAATGCGTTGGGTTCTTGTCATTACAGCCAAGAGTCGTGATGTCTAAGGATAGACCCACGCGGGGTGGGCTGTGACTTTCTCTCTTACTGTCTGGAAACTCACAGATGGGAGATGACGGGCAGCCGGGTCCTCCTGCACGAGGCTAAGCAGTCAGGCCATCGGCCCCCAAGGCAGCGCATCAGCAGCAAGGACTCAGGAGATCCCCCGTCTGGCCTCTCCCCCTGAGCTCCCAGGCCAGGGCTGCCGCGGGCACGGACATCGATGGGGCTCCTCACCTGAACACCGGAGCTCGATCTTGCACCTGCAGGGCCGACTGGGGAGTCCTGTCTGGCTTAGAACACCTGCGCACGTCGGGTCCTGTTTGGGAGTCAGAGGGATGGTGTCTCCGTGTCCCACTGGTCGGCACCATGCTGGATGTACGCAGTCCCGTCTGCTGCAGGAACGTGAATGTGGTCCTGGCGGGCACTGGGGCGGGAGGACCAGCTCCCACCTGCTCCCTGCTTGGGCTGAGGAGAAAGACCAGACAGCCAAAGAGTGGGCACGGGGCTGGGGTGGGGCTGGGGGCTCCCCTCCCTGACTCTCACCTCCTCTCTCTCTGTCTCTCTTACCTCCTGTCTCTCTCTCTCACCTTCTCTTTCTCTTTTACCTCCTCTCTCTCTTATCCCCTCTCCTGTCTCTCTGTCTCACCCCACCCCGGGGTTTACTTCCTCCCTCATCTCCTCTCTCTCTGTTTCACCCCCAGCCTCGTGGCTCACCTCCCCGCTCACCTCCTTTTCCTCTTCTTCAGTTTACTGTCTCCCTACCAACTCTCAGCTCCTTTCTCCTCAGCATCGTTTGGTGCCTGGTGCCCACCCCAGGGAGTTCGGAGTCTGTTTAACAAGAAAGCCATTTGCCCCCACACCTCACTTGGCCCCCAAGGGCAGTGTGGGTGAAGCAGTTTCTCTCAGTCAGGAAGAGGAGTCAGTCACCCAGACACTCCAGCCTCCCTGTGGCCAGCGCACCTCGCCATGGCACCATCACAGGACAGCCACGCCCCCAGTCACACCCGCTGAGCCCCAGCCTGCCCCTGCCTGGTCCGGCTCCCAGGCCTGGGGAAACAGACCTGGCAAGTCTGCGGGGCTGGGGGGTGCGGGGGGGTCTTCAGTACCGCTTCTGTTTTTCCCATCACAGCAACACTGGAACGGCGGTCATCACATCCCAGGTGGGTAAACTGAGGCTCAGGGCCGCAGCGTGAGTTGCTTGAGGTCACACAGTCAGCAGGAGGTCAACTCTGAAGTCCAGCTCTGCCAGCCCAGAAATGGTGGTGGGAGCCAGCCTGTGTGGTCAGGGGCGCCCCCAGGCAGCACCATCCGTTCAGAGGGCGCCCAGGGGCCAGAGCCGGGCAGGACCCACCGGGCACACAGCCGCACCAGAGCCACAGCTTCTCACACCCCAGCGCCTCTTATAAAAGAGAAGCAACAGCGTTTCTGTGGCCGGGCGCGGTGGCTCACGCCTGTAATCCCAGCACTTTGGGAGGCTGAGGCGGGTGGATCACGACGTCAGGAGATCGAGACCATCCTGGCTAACACGGTGAAACCCCGTCTCTACTAAAAATACAAAAAAATAAGCCAGGCACGGTGGCGGGCGCCTGTAGTCCCAGCTACTCAGGGAGGCCAAGGCAGGAGAATGGCGTGAACCAGGGAGGCGGAGCTTGCAGGGAGCGGAGATCGCGCCACTGCACTCCAGCCTGCAGGACAGAGCGAGACTCTGTCTCAAAACAAACAAACAAACAAACAAACAAACAAACAAACCCCAGAAGCAACGGCGTTTTTTAGAGAAGTAACATTAACACATCACAGACCATCCGGACGCTGGGTGTGGAGGAAACCTGACAAGCCCCCACAAGCTCTGATGCCTCAGTGGGCAGTGTTGTGTGGCACACAGAGGACAGGGGAGCGCCGGGCGAGGCCGTGGAGAAGAACAGGGCGTGGAAGCTCTAAGCCTGGTGCTAGGAGGCTGGCTTTCTGTCCACCCATAAATGGAGACGCGATTTCCAACAGCGAGAGAAGGGGTAAGAACACAAGGGCCATTTGTGGCTGGGATTTTATTTTATTTTATTTATTTTCTGGCATCTTGATCTCAGAGCACCTGGATCTTAGGTTGTTCCCGGTTGTTGCTGTTTTAAATCGTGTTGCTCTGAGCCCTTGAAGCAAACGTGTCGTTTTCTTAGGCTGGGTGCCCGGATGTGGGATTACAGGGTCAGGGGCCGCGGCCACACTGATGGCTCCTGGTGCCAAATTGCCTTCAGGTTGGCTTGTGACTGCCGGAAGCTCAGAAAGTAGCTTGTGCTGCCGGGGCCTCTCCCGGGGTGCGGTGGGGGGGTCCGTGGTTGGTGGTGAAGGAAAACATCCTTCTATGTTTCTTCCCAGCTGTGATTCTCCTGCACATCGTCAGTGGTTTTCTGAGCATGAGCAGAGACCCCGACAGATAAATGTGCTTTAGAAATTTGGCAAACATATCATTCTACGTAGGCAGATAAGAACACAGGGACACTGGAAATTAAGTGTCACACGAAACTGAAGGATTCCATTTGTTTAGATTTTTAAATTTTTACAAGATCTTTTGATTGTCTACACTGTCAATCCTAATTGTCTTTTTTTTTTTTTAACTTAAAACGTGAAATGCCAGGCACGGTGACTCACGCCTGTAATCCCAACACTTTGGGAGGCCGAGGCGGGTGGATCACCTGAGGTTGGGAGTTCGAGACTAGCCTGACCAACATGGAGAAACCCTGTCTCTACTAAAAATCCAAAATTAGCCGGGCGTGGTGGTGGGTGCCTGTAATCCCAGCTACTCGGGAGGCTGAGGCAGGAGAATCACTTGAACCTGGGAAGTGGAGGTTGCGGTGAGCCGAGATCGCGCCATTGCACTCCAGCCTGGGTGACAAGAGTGATACTCTGTCCCAAAAAATAAAATAAAATAAGATAAAACAATAAAGACTTGGAGAGCCTTTTAATAATAATAATAATAATAATAAAACATGAAACATAACACTCCTAGTCTTTTATTTGGGGTTTGGTCTATGCCTTCTAAGTTCTGAACGTTCTCTCCATTTTAGAAGTTTGATAAACTATGGGAAAACTGGGAAATAGGAATTAGCTTTTTTTCCACCACTTTTTGTTTTAAAAACTTCAGTTTATGGCGTGAACCCAGGAGGTGGAGCTTGCAGTGAGCTGAGATCCAGCCACTGCACTCCAGCCTGGGGTGACAGAGCGAGACTCCGTTTCAAAAAAAAAAAAAAACCAAAAAAACTTCAGTTTTACAGAAAAGTCATAAGAATAGTACAATGAACAGCTGTATACCCCTCACCTCATTCACCTGTTGTCCCCATTTTATCTCTCATTTCTGTCCATATCTATCTCTATATTTATCTACCTATATCTATCACTCTACCATCCATCCATCCATCCACCCACCTATCATCTATCCGTCCATCCACTCATCCATCTGTCCATCCATCCATCCACCCACCCATCTATCATATATCCATCCATCCATCTTCTATCCATTCATCTACCCATCTATCCATCTGTCCTTCCCTTCATCATCCATCTATCCATCCATCATCTATCAATCCCTCCATCCATCCACCCATCTATCACCTATCCATCCATCTATCATCCATCTATTCATCCGTTATCATCTACCCATCCATTCATCATCTATCTATCCATCAATCCATCTTCTATCCATTCATCCACCCATTTATCCATCATCTACCCATTCCTCCATTATCTATCCATCAATTCATCCATCATGTATCTGTCCATCCATCCGTCATCCATCAATCTCTCCATCTACCATGTATCCATCCATCCATCATCTATCTATTCATCCATCAGCTATCCATTCATCCATCCATCATCTACCCATCTGTCCATCATCTATTTCTTCATCACCTATCCATCTATGCATCCATAATCCATCCCTCCATTCATTCATCTATGCATCCATTCATCCACCATGTATCCATTCATCCATTCATCATCTATCTATCCATCCATCATCCATCATCTATCCATCCATTATCTATCCATCCATCCATCATCTATCTATTCATCCATCCATCATCTATCCATTCATCATCTACCCACCTGTCCATCATCTATTCTTTCATCACCTGTCTATGTATCCATCCATAATCCATCTCTCCATTCATTCATCTATGCATCCATTCATCCACCATGTATCCATTCATCTATTCATTATCTATCTATCTATCCATCATCCATCATCTCATCTATCCATCCATTATCTATCCATCTATCCACTTCATTTGTCATCTATGTATCCATCCATCCATCATCTGTTGATCTCTCCATCCATCATCCATCCATCTATCCTTCATCCATCCACCCGTCATCTATCTATACATCCATCATATATCCACCTATCATCTCTCCATCCTCCATCATCTTTCCATCGCTCCATCCCTCGTCTATCCATTCATTCATCCATCATCTACCCATCCATCCATCATCTATTGCTTCATAACCTATCTACTTATCCACCTGTAATCCCATCCCTCCATTCATCCATCCCATCCTCTACCCCGCATCTGTCCATCATCTATTCTTTCATCACCTATCCATCTATCCATCCATAATCCATCCCTCCATTCATTCATCCATGCATCTATTCATCCACCATGTATCCATCCATCCATTCATTATCTATCTGTCTATCTATCCATCCACCTCTCTATCTATCCATCATCCATCATCTATCCATTCATCATCTATCCATCTATCCATTCATTTTATCATCTATCTATCCATCCATCTATCATCATCTGGTAACCTCTCCATCCATCACATCCATCCATCTATCAGCTACGTCCATCCACCCATCATTTTATGTATACATCCATCATACTTAATAACATCCTATCACATGTCTCCATCCTCCATCATCTTTCCATCCCTCCATCCCTCGTCTATCCATTCATCCATCCATCATCTACCCATCCATCCATCATCTATTCCTTCATAACCTATCTACCTATCCACCATAATCCATCCCTCATTTGTCCATCCATCATCTATCCCATCCATCATCTACCCATCCATCCATCATCTATTCCTTCATAACCTATCTACCTATCCACCCATAATCCATCCCTCCATTTGTCCATCCATCATCTATCCATCTGTCCATCATCTATTCTTTCATCACCTATCCATCTATCCATCTGTAATCTGTCCCTCCATTCATTCATCTATGCATCTATTCATCCACCATGTATCCATCCATCCATTCATTATCTATCTATCTATCTATCTATCTATCTATCTATCTATCTATCTATTATCTATCATCTATCCACCCATCATCCATCATCTATCCATCCATTATCTATCCATATATCCATCCATTTATCATCTATCTATCCATCATCCATCCATCATCTGTTGATCCCTCCATCCATCATCCATCCATCCATCCTTCGTCCATCCACCCATCATCTATCTATACATCCGTCATATATCGATTTATTATCTATCCATCCTCCATCATCTTTCTGTCCCTCCATCCATCATCCATCCATTCATTCATCCATCATCTACCCATCCATTTATCATCTATTCCTTCATAACCTATCTATCTATCCACCCATAATCCATCCCTCCATTCATCAATCCATGATCTACCCATCTGTCCATCATCTATTCTTTCATCACCTATCCATGTATCCATCCATAATCCATCCCTCCATTCATTCATCTCTGCATCCATTCATCCATCATGTATCCATCCATTCATCATCTCTCTATCCATCCATCCATCATCTGTCATCAATCCATCCATTATATATCCATCCATCTATCCATTTATCATCATCTATCCGTCCATCATCCATCCATCCATCATCTGTTGATCCCTCCATCCATCATCCATCCATCCATCCTTCATCCATTCACCTATCATCTATCTATACATACATCATATATCCATTTATCATCTATCTATCCTCCATCATCTTTCCCTCCCTCCATCCATCGTCTATCCATCCATTCATCCATCACGCATCCATCCATAATCCATTCATCCCTCCACCCATCATCTGTCTATCATCTTTTTTTGTTTTTTTGAGATGGAGTCTCACTCCATCACTCACGCTGGAGTGCAGTGGTGTGATCTTGGCTCACTGCAACCTCTGCTTCCTGGGTTCAGGCAATTCTCCTGCCTCAGCCTCCTGAGTAGCTGGGATTACAGGCACATGTCACCATGCCCAGCTAATTTTTGTATTTGTAGTAGAGCCAGGGTTTGGCCATGTTGATCAGGCTGGTCTCGATCTCCTGGCCTCAAGCGATCTACTCACTTCGGTCTCCCAAAGTACTGGGATTATAGGCGTGAGCCACTGCGCTGGGCCCATTCATCATCTTTTCATTCATTCATTCATTAATCATCCATTCATCTATCCATCATCTATCCATTTATCCATCTATCCATCCATCCATTCATCCATCATCCATCCATCATTTATCCATTCATCATCTATCCATCCATTCGT